CCTTTCTTTTGTAACAGATGTAACAGGTTTAGAAACAATGCTATGGTATTTCCTTCTTTCTTTTTAACATAATTTTCCTTGGAAAGACCAGCCTGACTTTTTCAAGCCCAACCTCTTAGCATAGGAAAGTAAGTTCTTTATATTGCTGGTCCTCAGCTTTTGTACCTTGGTTTCCACACTGCTTGTTTTGTGCCTTTTGACTGCCCTAAACTCTGTTAGTTTCTGAATGTATGTGTTGCCCTGATGAATGCAGTTCCCTGTGCCCAGAATGTTCTTCCTTCGATTCCACTTGTCATAATCCTCACTTACTCATGGCTTTAGTTTCCTAAAATTACCATAAGAAACTACCACAAACTTGGTAACGAAAAATAACAGAAATTTACTCTCCATTCTACAAAGACTGAAATTTAGGTGATGGCACTCTGAAGGCTTAGGGGAGAATCCTTTATTGCTGCTTCTTGTTCCTTAGCTTAGGATGCAATTCTCCTGTCTCTATCTCTGGTTTCATAAGGCTTTCTTCCCTCTGTATCTCTGTGCCTTTATTCTTTCTTTGCTCTGTAAAGATTTATCTTTGGGTTTAGGGCTTACCTGAATCTAGAACAGTTTCATCTCAAGATTTTTATTACGTTTGCCAAGATCCTTTTCCCAAATCAGGTCACATTCACAGATTCTGGGAATTAGGGCATGGACATAGCATAGGGTATGGACAATCTTCTTTAATGCATTGTGTGATCCTTGAAGGCAGGGGTCGTGTGTTTGTTTGTTTGTTTGTTTTTAATTGATACCTTTATTGCCTGACATATAGTTGATTTGCAGTAAGTGATGACTGAGAAAATGTCAAATAAGTTGACATAGAATCATAAAGGAAGAATACCATAGCATTGTTTCTAAACCTGTTACACCCAGGCTCGTTGAGGGGAAAAAAAAAAAATCTGTTCTCCTTTTAAGTCATTTTGTAGTTTCAACATAAGTATGGTGACTAAAAATAAAGTACTGGACTAAATTTTTCTTATTTTAACTGTATTATTCTTTGCTTCTTGCCTCCACAGGCAATTAAGGTCATGGATTTGGGAGTAGGAGTGGAAGTTGGGGGTCTGGGTTGCATTATATCCCTAGGGGGATTGGACATTGGTCTCTGCTCGCTTGGACTTACCCTTTGACTAACATTCTTCCTCCACTTTGTTTGTACAGGAAAGATCCATACCCCAATGGAGTATAAGGGGGAACTAGCTTCCTATGATATGAGATTGAGGTAGGTGGGTAGAAGGGCATGGGTCGGAGGGGTACTAGGTACCAAGCACAGGGCTGATGGCTATGTCTGCCCTCAGGCGTAAGTTGGACTTGTTTGCCAATGTAGTCCATGTGAAGTCACTTCCTGGGTACAAGACCCGGCACAACAATCTAGACCTGGTGATCATTCGTGAGCAGACAGAAGGAGAGTATAGCTCTCTGGAACATGAGGTAAGGCCCCAGGAACTGGGGAGGGCCAGAATGGATATAGGAGAGAGGTAGATCTCCTCTTCATCCTTTTTTCCCATATCACCCAGCTGCTTTTCTCTTCTCATTCAGAGTGCGAGGGGTGTGATTGAATGCTTGAAGATTGTCACTCGAACCAAATCTCAGAGGATTGCAAAGTTTGCCTTTGACTATGCCACCAAGAAGGGGCGGGGCAAGGTCACAGCTGTCCACAAGGCTAACATCATGTGAGGGGCATATCTTTTCATGGGATAAGTTCCTGGGAGGTAGTCTGATTCTTGGCTGATTCTGTTCACTTTGACCCATGAGCAGGAAACTTGGGGATGGATTGTTCCTGCAGTGCTGTGAAGAAGTCGCTGAATTGTACCCCAAAATCAAGTTTGAGACAATGATCATAGACAATTGCTGCATGCAGGTAAGTCCCTCTCCCCATGTCTCTACTCTCATGATGCTGAGAAAGGGCAAGGAGTAGAATTCACTTCTCTTCTTCATGCCCACATCTCACTTCGTAGCTGGTGCAGAATCCCTACCAGTTTGATGTGCTTGTGATGCCCAATCTCTATGGCAACATTATTGACAATCTGGCTGCTGGCCTGGTTGGGGGAGCTGGTGTGGTCCCTGGTGAGAGCTACAGTGCAGAGTATGTAGTTTTTGAGACGGTGAGTGAGGTCACTTTCTCCTTTTGTCATTTATACCTGTCCTTTCTCCTACTTCAGGTCTCCTCTCATTTCTACCCATACAATGATTCCCACTTCTCAGTGACCCTGGCCTGCCTTCCCTCTTTCCCATCATACTCTTTCTCAGCCTCGGCATATGCCTGCTTCCTCCCAGTAACTCTGGCCTGCCCCTCTCTCCATAGGGTGCCCGGCACCCATTTGCTCAGGCAGTGGGCAGGAATATAGCCAACCCCACAGCCATGCTGCTGTCAGCTTCCAACATGTTACGGCATCTCAAGTAGGTCACGGAGGCAGCGGGTGGAGGCTGGTTGTTGTAAGGGGAGCATAGGTGGGAAAACAGGTGACAGTGTTGTGGGCAATCTTAAGTTTCTTCTTGTCTACATTGACAGCCTTGAGTATCACTCCAACATGATTGCAGATGCAGTGAAGAAGGTGATCAAAGTTGGCAAGGTGAGTTTAGAAAGGTGCTGGTTCAAGGTTTTGTTACTGCTCTCTGGGGAACCTGCAAGGAGTCTCTTTCTCTCCAGGTCCCCAGAACATCTTTTGCTCTGTGACCTCCTCAGGGCTGTTCTTACCCCCATTCTCTTGGCTGTTTCATCCTTTTGGTCTTTTCTGCCTCCTTTAGTTCCCATCTGCTGTTCCCTCTTTGCTGCTCCATCCATTGCCCTTTTCATGGTCATGTGAATGCAGAACTTGCAGTTCTCTCTCTGGGGGTGGAGCAATGGAGGGAGAGGCAGTCAGGATGAGGCACCAGCTTCATCTTGTCCATGCCTGGGAGCCCAATCTTCATCTCCATTTCTCCTACCTGGTCTGTCTCCTTATTTCCTCCAAGGTAACTTCATCCTGATATGCACTTCCCCATCTCACTTCCTGCTCAGCCTTCCATCCTACCTTGCAGCAGTTTTCCTAGTGGCTCAGAAGAGTGGGCAATTTGCTCCTCACCTGGCTACCTCCTTTCATCCCTGCTGCATCGCATCTTCTTTTTGGCCATCTGTTTTCTTGGGTTCCATCTCCTTGACTACGCTGCCCTTATCTCCCTTCACGGGCTCTCTTCTCTTCTTCCCCACGGCTATTGCTGATGGTGGCTGTAGGTGCGGACTCGAGACATGGGCGGCTACAGCACCACAACCGACTTCATCAAGTCTGTCATCGGCCACCTGCATCCCCATGGGGTCTAGAGCTCTTTATTCCCTCCAACCTCACAAGGACCATACCCTTCAGTACAGTGGACCAGGGAAGACACCTTGAACCTCTAGACAGTGGACCATAATTAATTTCTGGGCAGAGCCTAGGTTGTCCTGGGGCTGGCTTCCTTAGGGAACTTATACTGGACGGTGGGGGCTTTAAGATAAGGGGTGGGACCTAGGTCACAGGATGATGACACTTCTCCCCCACAGGTTCGAACCTCTGACATGGGTGGCTATGCCACTTGCCACGACTTCACTGAGGCTGTCATTGCTGCCCTACCCCACCCATAGGTCCTGTAAGGTGTTTACCAATAAAACATGCATATCAATTTTTGTGAATTTGTTTTTATTGGGGTTTGGGACATGGGGTGGGAAGTCACCTTGGGGTATGCCCCTGCCCCCCAAGGAATGTCCGTTTTAGTCTTGTGATGCTTTGTGCAATTTTTTCTTTTTCTTGGTGCTGGTTTTGCTGCTAGCAGCCTCTTCAGGGCCGCTGCTGACTGGCTCCTCCTTGGAAAAGAATCTCCTCTTTTTCTTGGAGACACTCCTGCTCACTTCCTCAGGCTCGCTAGCTGTTTCTTCCTTGGGTGAAGACTTCTTCCTCTTTGGAAGACTTGTGCTGCCACCAGCTGTCTCTTCAAGATCACTACTAACCAATTCCTCCTTGGAAAAAGATCTCTTTTTCTTGGGTTTGGTGTAAGAGACAGATGGCTCCTCCATTCCATTCTCCTGAGGAACCTCCTGGGGCTTTTGTTTTTTCTTCTTTTTGGGTTTTTCATTCATCTCCTAAAGGGGAAAAGGGGCAAACAGGCATAAGGACAGTGTTATCTATGGTATATGCAATTCCCCCCACCCATTAAGATGCAGCAGAAAACCAACTGCCCAGTGCTTTTGGGATGGTTGTTTAATGGTGTGGGTCTAACTTTGGACATCTACTGTCAGAAGTCAGAACTGGAAGGCTTGTAAAAAATTTTCTAAATAAATTTGTATAAGTAACCTATAGGAAACCATGCTGGTTACACTAGAGTGATCATGTAAGTTCCAGAGAAGAGACTGAAATGGTCACAAAAGGCACTAAAAACGAAAACAGGAAATGATTCTAACCTGGTGCACTGAAGAGCTAGCTCCTTTGTCCCCACCCCCACTGTGAACACAAACTTCTGGACACACATCTGAGAACAAGAGCAGGCATTGATACTACCCCCGGTTGAGGACTCCTGGGAGGCTGCGGAGGACAGAGCACACTTGCCCAGGAAACAGGTGTGTGCTACAGCCAGCTCTGGGCTCTTGAGCAAGTTCTCTCAGCACCTATCTCCTTCCTACAGAATCAAGAGGTAGTTAAAGAGATTTGGTCCAAAAGCCTGGACACCAGACCATGGCTTGACATGGCACATCCTTTGTTCTGCTGGGAGAATCCAACCTAAAAACTTCTCTGAGTGGATCTGGTGGACTGACCTCACACTCCTCTGGAGTGCTACTGCTATTTCCTGAAGATGCCAGGGCAAGTGCAGCCAATCGCTTTTTTTCCTTCTTTAAGCGCTTCTTCTCCTGTTTCTCCAGTTTCCTGGCAATCTCAGCAGCCGCTTCCTCTGCCTGGCAAAAAAGAAGTTCTGAGAAGGCCTGAAGATCTTGGCTTACCATAGTCACCTCTTTCTTTATTGGATCAGGCTCATTAAATCAGTTTTTGTTTTTGCCTCCACTTCACAAGGTCAGGCCAAGCAAGATGGTTCATCATCTCCAACAGCTACCTAGAGTTCTCTACCACCCTACAAAGCCCAAACTGACCTGAACTATTGCTTCCTTCATGACATCCAGATTCTTCCGTGGAATCTCTCCAGTCTCATAGAAGGACAGGCGCTCTTCAACTTGTTCTCGAAGCTTCTCCCCAAATACACTTGTAGGAACCTCTGGGTGTGTGTGTTTAACAAAACCTGTCAGCCCTCAAAGGGACAAACTACCCCACCCCCATTCCCAGTATTCCCTCTACCCTCAGCTTTACTCAGACCCAGAGTTATCAACACTCACTAGGTGAACTGCTGTTGACGAAAAATATTAACCATCATTGTAGAAGCTGCTAGGGTAGTTTGCCTCCCCGATTCCCAGCCCCTCACCCATAAGTGCCAACCTCCTCACCCATACCAGAGAAGCAATCGATTCGTGAGGCAATACTGCATTTGTTTGCCAGGTATCGGGAGATGCGGCCTTTGTTCTTGGCAGCTGCTCGGCCAATGAAGGTAGAATGGAAAATGAGTCCATATTTTGGTGTGTTACCCCTTGTCTTCAGGGCTCTGAGAATATTTAGCAGAGAGTTTAAGATCAGAAATTTCAACCCCATTAGCAGCTCCTCCCATCCCCTCCCCTCCAAGTCTCCAGAGTGTGCTTCAGGCTGGGCTAGACCCCAACACAAGCTAACCCATAGCTCCCAGAGGCAGAGGGAAGGCAAACAATGTCGCTGACCTGGAAACTTGGTCCCTTTGCTGGGCCCTAGGAATCACTCAGACACCAGGACTGGCCATCACCCCCATAGCAGAGGCCTGTATAGGTCAGGGAGCCCCGGTCAGCCATCACTGTGATCCCCAAACAAGTAGAGGGCACCAGAAGTGGCACCTGATATGGGCAGGTGCCCTCACTGGTACCTGAATAGGGCCTTTTCAGCCCCAAGGATCTGCACTGTGGATGCTGGATACTTGGCCAGGTTGGTGAGGCTGCCAGCATGAGCAATGAGACGTGCACCTACCTGGAAAAAGATTCAAGGAAGAATTCAGAAGTGGGAATTGCTGACTTGTCATTCAAATAACCCCTGCTTTCTACCCCCCATCAGGCACAACTGGGGAATATATATGGTGGGTCAGTCAGGAAGTATAGCAGTGCAGAATGGTAATAATCCTAATCCCCCACTTTTGTATTCCCCATGACGCACCGCTTCCCCAATTAGGGCTGACAGGCTGGGGGCTACTTGGCTCATCTTGGAGCGCAGGTAAGTGTGTAGGCTCTGGCGGTACTCTGACAAAGACACCACACGACTGGAGAAGCTCTCGATGTTTATCAAGTCGATGGCAGATATGTCCATGCCTAGGAAACACCTAGTGTGAACAGAGGGGCCAGATATTCAGTCCCATACCTTATGCTAGCTGCCGGGCTCTGCACTGACCCATGGAGGACCGTGAGGCATCCAGAATAGCTTTAGCTTTGGCCCCATCCATTGTCAGCTCCTCCAGCTTCTCCAACTTTTCCTCACTCAGTTCTTTTCGATTTCCAATGAATTGGGCAAGGCGGCAGTATGTGGCATTGTCATTGATGATCTTCACCAGTTCTGGAAAGTGATACCCGTACCATTCCCTGCAAAAAGGTATAATCACTTCCTGACCTAGCTGCCATGTCTATATAAAGCTGTAGCTTTAGCCCTCTCTGCCTACTCTGCCTGGAAGAAATGGAACAAGTCAGACTCAAATCCCTCCAGCAATTCCATGTTTCCCCATTCACAATGCAGACCAGGCACAGGGCCTGGGCTGAGGTGTACATGGGGTATGCTTACTCTGCCTCCCCTTTCTATACAGTCAGTGTAAGAACACAGCCTGTGGTAAGCATCAGGAGGCCCAGCTCCAGCCTACTCAGAAGAACTTTCTATCCACAAGATTGTCAGCCCCAATTTGAGGGCTGATAGTTGCCTAAACTATAGGCCAAAGACTCCACTATCAAGGGTGGCCCCTTACCTGACACGCATAGAGAAAGTATTGATGTCTTTATCCAGTTGGTCCAAGAGGCTAATGGACTGGATGATCATGTTGTCCACCCGGTTCACATTAAACTTAACTTTGGCACGAGAATAGCTGTGTCCCAGCCCTAGTTGGGCTTTACAAGCTGACAGGTCGGTCAGACCCTTCACCAGATTATGGAAGTGCAGACGAACTCCTAAGAGGGGAGCAGGACTGTGAGCAAGCAGGAAGCTGCAACCTCAAGCAAGTTTTTAGACCCCTCTTTAAGATGTCAAAAAATGGCAGGAGAGCCTCACCTCGCAGGATCTCGGCTACCACACCTCCAGTCTGGCAGTTGTACCCTAACTCCTCCTGTATAGCAGCACCAATCTTGGGATCCCCAACCCCCAAAAGCACTTTCTTCTTTTTGGATGGCAGGTGGGTCTCCAGGAGCAGGCGGAGGTCCTCATGAACAATGCCTCAAGGCAAAAAAATAGTTCCCACTAAGATGGTGAAGGATGTTTGAATTGTAAAAGCTCAGCTGATCATGCTGGTCCCCTGGAAGCATGCTGGGATGACATGCCTAGACCTCTCCCATTCAGGCATTGCTCAGAGACATTGAGACATCAATGATCACACTCAGGGGATTGACAGATTTACAAGTCATCACTGCAAAGCCTGGATCAACCATGGGAGGAACTGGACTCAGGTCCAATAGCATATGTGTAAAATGCATACGTGTAAAATACATAACTGAAAAACACATATTACTACCTTATTAGCCTTCAGGGATCAAATCCCATTTGCTTACCTACATTTACCAAAATTTAACTTTCTAGTCAACTGAAAGTTAGAGACCCAGACTAGTGTTTAAACTTAAGCATAGCCCTCCCACCCCCAATTTTTAGGAATCATTTTTCTCTACAGTGCCCACAAGTTCATAAAACCTACATCCTGGATTATGTGCTTTAAATTACATCCTTCAGGTCACAAATACTGTCTAGCACAAACAATCCAAATGTAGAAAAGCAAATACTATAGACCCTCCAATAGAGTATCAGCAGGAACCACATCTCACTATCTCCTTGAAAGATTTGGCTGCCGCCAACTCACCTTCAGACACCGCATTGGCATTTTCCAAGGCAACCTGGGATGAGGAAAAGGGATTAAAGGCCACAAGACGGACAATGTTGTGGAACTTGCCCAGGCTGAGCACACATTCCTCCACCTGTGGGGACAAAAGAGGATGTATGGTTTCCTTCCTTCACTCTAGCCTCTGCGGTGCAGCAGAGTAGCAATTATCAGCCCTAGACATTATTAAAATATGCCAAAGCCTCACCCCCACATCTCGGGTTCAGCTTTAATCCATTCGAGGCGGAATCTGGGGGCTTATTTCTAAGTGCTTCTTAAGCGATTCTAACCGTGAGTCAGGGTAAAGACCCCTGCTCCAGAGCTTGCTTTCCCTGTCTAGCCCTCCCTAACCCGCGCGGCCGGCCACGTGGGAGCGCGCGGTGCATGCTGGGGTTCGAAGGCCCCAGGGGCTGCAGTGCAGCCGGGCTAGCCCACCCATCTCACCCACCTGCGGCAGTAACAGGCTGATCTCCTCCACTTCCTTCAGCGCCAGCAGCGCGTAGCCTACCGCGTGCTCGAACAGCACGTGTAGCAAAACCTGGAACGAGAGTCGGGGCGCAAAAGTCAGCTAGGCCCACGAGTCCCGACCCCGCTCCCAGAGCAGGCCCTGGTTTAGGCCCTGGCTCAAACTCTAATCCAGACCTAAACCACGGCCTTCACATCACCCACAACCCACAACCACTCCTCACCATGGCGCTTGCTCCCTGCCCGGCTCGCAATGCGGCTAGCAGGCTCTAGCGCGCGGAACCAGGATCCAGAGGCCACGCCCTCTACCGATTAGCCAATCAGAGGCTAGGGAAGGCACCATTCTCGGACTTCAGAGGGGTCCGCTGGAGTGGTATGGCCGCGAGGGCGGGCGGAGGTGGTGCCGAGCGCGAGCCAGCGGGTCTTTTCTGGCCTCTGCGGCTGCGCGGGCGGGTGCGGTTGCCGGGGACGCGCGGAAGCCGTCTTGGCCTGCAGGCCCAAAACGGTTTGAAAAGGCTCTTTTCCTAGTAGTGGGATCACTCCTGTTTTATGGTATAAGTGGAGGGCGAGAGAGCTCTTTGAAGTCGGGGGGCGGGAGGCACCATCTGGGCCAAGGTGAGCATTCCAGGCTGGAGCTTTTCAGAGCCGGCTTCCCGCCGCGCTGGTGACTTGGGACCCCAGACACTCTCCCACGCCCCGGCTGCAGGTGCCCTCCACCCCCACCCAGTGAACCCCGTGAACCCCGTGGTCCGCGCGCCCTCCCCTCTTGCCAGGGACCGGAGCCTGGCCTGGGGCGCTCTGACGCAGACCCTGCAGGAAACATGGCTTCTCGCGGCTTATTCATGCTTTTACATTTTATTTAGTATTATTCAATCAAAAAATGATGATGGCTGGCAATGCCGCAGAAAGGAAAGGCGATCCCATATCTTCCTAGGCTGATTTCTTGCCTTGCTTCACAGGACCAGCCTCTTTTGCGGGCCACGTGTTGCGCACAGTCTGGAGAGCGGCCCTAAATTCGTGTCGCGTCCAGTAGCTCTGAGTGAATGGCAGCTGCTTTCTTGTCCTGTAGGGCGGCTTTTGGCACTCGGGTGACGATTTTAAAATTACTTTTGCTTTCAATAACTAATATTAAAATTATAAACGCAAAACCTGGTTATTCTTAAGTAGTATATACCCTGGTTTTTTTTTTTAAAAAAAAAACATTCTAAGGGGATTTTTAAGATAAGTTAAATTCTATAAATCACATCTCATAATCTCAATATTACTTAGAGGTGTGGTTAAATTGTTATATACATATCGATTTATAATCACTAGTCTGAATCAGTTACTGTATTTTCATTTTAAAAATGGAATTGCAAAATTTAACGTATTACATACTTTAGTGCGTTTAGAGTCTCAAACATTACAAATGTTTAACATGCAAAATTAAATGGATGATTTCAGACTAATGGAAAATAATGCTATGACTTTGATTTACTTGTTTCAATAGTTAATCCTAATCTTTTTGGGATTACAGGTACTTATCCACTAAGGAAAGAATTTTCAAGAAAACAGAATCCATGAATGGATTGCAGAACAAGGGTGTGGTGGCACTCGCCTATAATCCCAGGCCGAGGCAGGAGGATCACAAGTTCTAGGCTAGCCTGGGCAACTTAGTGAGATCCTGTCTCAAAATAAAATTTTAAAAAAGAACTGGAAATGTAGTATAGCACTTCTGGGTTCAATCCCCAGTACCACACACACAAAAATAACAACACTAGATTGCAGAAATAATTTGTTCATTCATGACCAGTAGTTTAAAAATCAGAATAAAGAGAATAAGAAGTAAGTGTATGTCAAATAGAGTAAGGAGTATGTTATTGTGAAATTTCTGTTTCAGCTGTAAATCTGTATATCTCTATATACAGTGTATATACACTGTTATACACATAAATTCATATTTTCATATTTATATATATGTGTATATACTTGCACTTCTGTGTATTAATTCAGGATATAAAAATAACCTGATAATCATTCAGTGAGCCAAAAGATTACCTCAGTTATACTTTGGGCAGATTTGAGCCTGCTGGCTTCAAGGATGCTGCAATGAAGTAGTTTGCTGACTGAAGAAAAGTGTATACTTTAAAAAGTGAGATACACATGCTTGTGATTGAATGGAGGTATGGTGTAAATACTACAATAAAGTATTTCTATGACTTCCTCTCCTCCATCTCTTCATTATGGTATCTCCTGCTGATACTTATAATCCTGACCCAGTGGGCACCTGCAGTGTGTGATGTAGGCTGTCCCTTCCTTCCCCTTAGGCTGTTTGATAGGCTCACTACCACCACCAGAGTGGACTTTTACAAAACCTTTGATTTCCCTCATCCAAGCTATCTTCTTCTCTACTGCCACAACAGTCTTTCTAAGGCAGATTATCCATTTGTGTTCTATTTGTGAGTGCTCATAGTGGCATGAGGTAATGGACGAATTATGGGCCATAGTATCCCAGGAACACCTGTGGTAACTAGTCTCAAAAAATGGCTACCAACAATCCATGCCTTGGTGTATCAGGTCCTGTATCATTCTTTGAGTTGGGCTGGGTCTCTAACTTTAGCCAGTGGTATGTGGCAGGAGTTATTCTGTGTCAAGTAGGCTTTGTCTTGTTGGGAGCCTTGTAGTTGCCCCATAAGAGGTCTACCTACTTTGCTGGTGAGACGACCTCAGAGGCTTTGAGACTACATGCATGGAGAGGAAGAGAGGTCCAGTCTTTCAACTGCCCCTGCCAAGAAAGTAGACATTATGTGTTCCAACCCCTGCCACCATCTGACTTCAGCCACCTGAGACTCCAACCAAGACCAGAAAAACAGATGAAATTTTTTATTTTCCATGATATATTGTAGCTTTAAGCACCACAATATAGGAGCAACTTGTTATGCAACAGATTGAGAATAAGCAAACCTGGGTTCAAACCCCAGCTCTGCTCCTAAGCTTTCATTTCTTCTGTAGAATGAAGATTAAAGATTTATTCATCCCTGTAACAACCCTTTACTGAACATCTATTCTAGGGCCACACGTGAAACAGGGAATGGGAACTCAAAATTCTATCATCTTGCTCTTTTGTCCCTTTCTCAATAAATAGCACGAGAGCATTTCTTATTACCTATTCTCAGTTGAGTCCCAGTTCTCTCATTGCCTCCCATAGAATCTATAACACTTCATTTTTTCTATACACCCACCTACAGTGAGGTGTTTTGAAGTTGACATTTGTTTTCTTTTACAGATGAGGAATCAACATTAAACTCCTAATATTTAAGAAGCTTCCAACTAGAGTCAATCAATCAGTCCTTCCAGCCATTCATTTTTAATGAATGTCTGTGTGTCCGCTGCATGTGAGGTGTCTTGCAATATGCTAGTAAGCACAACCAAGTTCCTGCCACTGTGGAGTTTACACTCTGGCAAAGACAGATCATCAAGTCAACGCGTAGCACATCTAGTGTTGATAAATGTTAAGAAATAGTGTGTTATTTTTTTAGAGACCATGAGACTGTATGGAAATAAACCATGCAGAGGTCCAGGAGAATAACAACAACAATGGTAACCATAACTCATGGCCTCTGAGATTTTATGGTCATGGGAGACTATTATCTCGGGCTAAATTGCAGTGATAAGGAGGCTGACTGGAAAGCAGTTTGCCTCAGTATGCCTGAGGTAGAATTCAGGGCTAGAAGGGACTTCTAACTATTCATAGGACAACGTGTAGGTCAGTGAAAGCTGGAGGATGGAGAGAATGAAAGCAAAAGGCAGAAATAAAAATATGCTAAAGGTGAAAAATTTAACTTGATCAGTAATTAGAACTAAAGGATCTAGAATCTAAAACTATAAGAAACTTTGAATGAAAGCCAGTGATGAAATTTTTGATTTTCCATCAAGCAGTTCAATCAGAGATTAATTTGGAGGTGATTGATGTGCAAGGCAGATTGCCTGGTGAGTTCCTGCTAAGAAAATGTCCTGGCCTGGGCAGCAGTTCTGAGTAGGGGATGTGTGTTTCCCAGGTGCGCTTTAGTTCAAGTTTAAGGCCATGTGGCGCCTGGCGCTTTTTTTTTTTTTAAGACTCTTCACCCACTGGGTAGGTTCATACACTATATCACCTGACCTTTTGCACTTAGCCCAACCTTTAGCTGTGTTGATTAGATGTAAATTAGAGTTTTTACTTGGGGGGCAGCATCAATGGGGAACCTACAGAAAATAGAATATGCAATTTAAAATCCAGGCAATAATAGGGAGAGCTTTGGAAAAGGAAATTACATGGAAACATCACAAGATGGCGACACTTCACACTCATCTCTGAGTGAGAAAAATCTTCACATTGAATTTGAAAAGGCCTCTAGCAATTCCTGGGCTGTTTTCTCCAATAAGGAAAGAAGCCCCACAGAGTTCTTTGGTGATGAATTACATATATATGTAACATTCCTTTACATAGACACAGAAGAGCGAGAAGCATCTTGGGAAGGTCTTTGTCCCAGTGTTCCTACTCTTCTTTAGCATTGAGAAGCAGGCAGCTTCTGAAACCCAGCGGTTGATTGGGATAACAGGGCAAATGCTTTGTTCAGTAGATTCTGTTTGTGAACCTGTGGATGTCTGATTTATCCATGCCGGTCATGATACCTGTTATGTATTGAGCACTTAGCCTAGTGTGTGGCAAATGCATTATTTTTACATGCATTATTTTGCATTATGATAATTTGTATAGTTTTCATTGCTTTTTTCTTCTCTTGGAGGCCCTGTCAAACTAGGATCACTCTGAATTAAAATTTCCATATAAATTTTTTGGAATGTATAGATAATGTAGAATTTAGATCCTTGGTGTGAGAGGGCTGTCTTGTCTAACTTCTCAAGGGACATTTTTCTCTCTTACTTTCTGCCAAGGTCAAGAGAGAAAAATATCCTTTTTTTCATGGCAAATTTAAGTTTCTTGTAGAGCAGGAGTGTACATCATGCTTTGAAATTAACTTTTGTTGCTCTGTCACTGCAACTTATTTTAAAATTGACACGGTTTGGGCTGGGGATGTGGCTCAAGTGGTAGCGCGCTCGCCTGGCATGCGTGTGGCCCGGGTTCGATCCTCAGCACCACATACCAACAAAGATGTTGTGTCCGCCGAGAACTAAAAAATAAATATTAAAAAAAAATTGACACGGTTCTCCCCCAACCCTTTGTTCCCTGCCTCACCTCTCCCTAACCAAGGGGAGAGCAAGATAAACTTTCTTCTCATCCTAGGCTAAGTTGTCTTTTTTTTTCCTTGTAGTTGTAGATGGGCAGCATGTCTTTATTTTATTTACTTTTATGTGGTGCTGAGGATTGAAACCAGTGCCTCACGTGTGCAAGGCAAGCTCTCTGCCAGTGATCTACAGCCCCAGCCTGGCTAAGCTGACTTTGGGCAAACATACACCATAGGAATTAAGTAACTTTAGACTTCATGGATGGTGCCAAAGGACCTAAGAAACTGCTATCTTTCAAGGTTACAAATGAATTATGACCCCTGACAGGGCACACCTAGAAGATAGCCTTTGAATCACCTCGTTTAAAACCCTGTTCCCCCTGACAGGCAGAATCACAGACTCTGGGACAGGAGCACCCTCATTTATCTTGCCAGCAAAGCAAAAAAACCTTTTCCTTTTTTTCAAAACTGTGTCCTTATTGGGTTGGCATTGAGGACAAGGACTGAGTTTTGGTAACATGAGGAATTTGGTGCCTCAGCTTTGGGCAGGACTTGATAAATACTTCAGAGTGTGCCTGAAGTGCCTTTACAGTTGAGAGTCTTCAACATAGTGGGTGCTGTTGGTACCCTGTCCCAATCCCTTTACAGGCTGGTGCATTAGCTCCCAGTTTCTGTTAGTGTATAAGTCAAAGGGAGAACAATTATTTCCTTGTATCTTCACTACAAATGTGTTCCTGCTTACATGATTCTGTGTAAAATGGAGGTCATCATAGAAATTAAGGGTCCTGGGCACCACTATTAACTAATCTGGTGGATTTCTCTCAAACAAGCTTTAGAGTGTTCTTAACAGAGGTCTTGCTAGTATTTGAAACACTATCTTTGCGGCTGGGGTTGTAGCTCACTGGTAGAGTGCTTACCTAGCATGTGTGAACACTGCGTTAGATCCTCAGCACCACATAAAAAATAAATAAATAAAATGAATGTATTATGTCCGTCTACAACTAAAAAATAAAAAATAAACAATTCTGTCAAAATATGTTCACAAATTTTTTGAGAACTCTCCTTTCAAGAGATAAAGCCTCTTCCCTTGAGTGTGAGCTTAGACTTAGTTCTAATGAACAGAAAGTAGTGGATTTCTGAGACTAGGTCATAAAAGGTACTGTGGCTTCCTCCTTGTTCTCCCTCTTGTTGGGTCACTTGCTCTGGAGGAAACCAACTGCCATATTGTCTGTACACTCAAGCAGCTATGAAAATGTATTAAACAAAATGGAGTCACTCCTGTCATACTTTGCTAAAATGGAGTAGAAGGGCCATGGGAAAGGAAGGGAAACACTCAAGTCATCAATGACTGCTTCAGGAACTCTCTCACAAAATCACTACATTGAAACAGCCTGTTCTATCTTTAGGACTTTTTTTACTTAGCAATTGATTGATGGTGGAACTGCCAACTAGACCTTAAGAGCAGTGTTACGTAGTAACTTAATGCTGCTTGCCAATCAAACCTTGCCACCTCCGTTGAGAACCAAATGTGCTAATGAACTTTCTTTCAAAATAAATTGCATAGACTTTCTGTCCTAACAAAACAACCAAACCTTCCTTTGTTTTCCAGGTCATTCTGGCTGTACACATTGTGTCCCAGATTGCATTCTTATTCTTTGTTTCCAAATAAAATTCCCTTTGTTGGAGATTTGCCTGCATATTTTTTATTTGACTTTGACACAGCCCTATGGAAAGGTCCACCAGGAGAGTAACCAAGATCTGTCAATAGCCAGTAAGGAACTAAAGCCTCTCACCAATAGCCATGTGTGTGAGACATTTTGGGAGCCTAATTTTCAGTTAAACCTTCCAATGATTGTAACCAGGCTGAGAATTTGCCTGTAATATCCCAAATCAGAACTGCCTAACTAGGCCACTCCCAAGTTCTTGACCCACAGAAACTATACAACAATAACAAATACTTTTATTATTTGGTGCTGCCAAGTTTCAGAATAATTTGTTATA